ACTTTATCACACATATAATTATTTGTGCCAGATTTAAAATAGTGTCAGTGAGCACCAGGTGCCAAACTGAGAGTTAGGGGAGTGTTCGGAACACTGAAAAGGGAGTGGCGTCTCAATAATTCTGGTCAAGGCAATGACCAACCACAATTCCAGAGAATGAATGATGAAACATTCTATCCATTTCCTGACGTGGAGGTGATGGACTCAAGGCGTAGAATGAGACATACTTTTTTTTTCAGACATTGCCAATGTGGAAATTTGTTTAGCTTGACTATGTATACTTTTACCAGAATGTTTCTTTTCTTTTTTAATGGGGAGGGGGAAGATAGAGAAAATCTATTTTTTATTCATTAAAAAATGTTTTGTTTTTTTTTTACAAAGAAGTGACCTTCAACTTTTCACTGAAATGGGCAACTATTAATGTGCAAATCATCATTGAAAACAAAATGTATTTGCTACACATAAATAACCTGCTTCCCAAGATGGAAGCAGCACACCAGAAGCATAATGTTCTAAGGCCAAACGAAGCCAGATGTGGTCCACTTATACATGCAACTGACCCACAATGGCAGGAGTAAAGAGAGGTGCAACCAGTGAGTCAAAGAAAAAATAATATTCAGAGGAATTGAGTTAAGGCTAAGGAAATTGCTACTGTTAACTTGGAATGACATAGGTGTTAAAGAGGAAAACGAGGATCATTTTCCATACACACACACACACACACACACACACACACACACACACACACACACACACACACACCCACTGCAGAAGCTTGTACACCCCATATAAAGTTGAGTTGATTTAATACGGTGGTAAGATGAAAGCAAAACAAAGAGGGGAAGAACAAAGCTCTTACTACACAGGAAGTTAAATTGACGCAACCAAACCCAGCTTCTAAGAGGAAGCGGGGAAAATGCACACTCATTAACCTATCATCTTATTCCAATTCTCAGAAGCAGTTGAAACTGAAAAATTTAGGATTGGCAATAGCTAGAAACATCACAGAATACCTCGCCGGGCAGCTAGGTGGTGCAGTAGGTAGAGTGCCAGTTCTGGAGTCAGAAAGACTCATCTTCCAGAGTTCAAATCTGGCCTCAGACACTTTACTAGTTGTATGACCCTGGGCAAGTCACCTAACCCTGTTTGCCTCAGTTTCCTCATCTGTAAAATGAACTGGAGAAGGAAATGACAAATCACTCCCATATCTTTGCCAAGAAAACCCCAAAGGGGATCACAAGTCAGATATGACTGAAAAACGACTAAACAAGGACAATGGCTAGAAAAATAAAAACCCCTCTGGATCCCAGTGGGATAATGGGTAATAATGGGTTATATTTTAATGGCAAGATAAATGTTCTCCGCGGGCAGTTAGGTGACACAGTGGATAGAGTGCTGTATCTGCAATCAGGAAGTCTTGAGTTCAAATCCAGCTTCAGACATTTAATAACTATGTCACCCTGGGCAAGTAAGTTAACTTCTATTTGCCTCAATTTCCTCAACAGTGAAATGGGAATAATGATAACACCTCCCTGCCTGGGAGATGTTCTGAGGCTCAGATGAGGTATTTGTAAAGCACTTAGCAAGCACAGTGCCTGGCACATACGTAGTAGGTATTTAGTAAGTTCTGTTTCCTTCCTTCTGGAAACTACTGCTTTAACTTATCACCACAATGTGTACATTATGCAGTATTAAGTGCTCAGCCAAGGAAACAAAACAAAGAATTTCTGCCCTTCCCCACAGAGTCAATGAAACTTCTTCTAGCATTTCAATTTTAGACATCAATAAATGTTGTCATAAAAATGTTTTATAGAAACATATTTGTATATAACACAAAATACTCTGTTGTGGTATCAGGTATAGGCCAAGAACCATCATCACAGCTTCTCTAACTCTGCAGGTTGTATCACCTAAGCCTGGGAATATGACTGGTGCTTGACGTTGGTTAGAAAGAACCAGTTGGACTCTGCATAAGTGCCCTCTGCACGTGATCCTTTTTCCAGAAACCCCATGTAAGTCTCAACCCCTTACCCTAGGAATCTTAACCTTTTTTGTCACAGTCTGGAGAAACCTATAGACCTCCTTCTCAGAATATTTGTAAATGCAAAATAAAATACATAGCATTAGAAAGGGAACTAATTAGGTTGAAAATTATCAAAAAAAATTTTTTTAACAAATTTACAGACCCTAGTTTAAGAATTCCTGATCTAGACTTAGCTAACTTCTCAATGGCTTTCACAAAGGCCCCCCCCCTCACCAGCAAATCAACCTCATGGGTACACTTATATTCTGTCAAGCCACTGTAATCCTTTGAACTCTAGACCAAAAAACTCTACCCTGTCCCTGAATTGTGTTTTTCTGTACACACAGTACTGACACACAGAAAGACAGGACTTCCCAACACAATGTAGAACCTCTATTCAAAACCTGTTACCTATTACTTACATAAGCTTGGGCAAGTTGTTTAACATCTCTGGGTCTCATTTTGAATGAATAAAAAAGTACATTTGCTTACTTATGCGCTAGATACTGTGCAAAGCACTAGGGATACAAATATAAAAGAGATAGTCCCTGCCCTCAAAGAATTTATACTCTTATAGGGTACGATAACACATGTCCAGAAGTGGGGATGGTTAGTGGAACCCTAGGGCAATTACTTAATCTATAATTTTTCTCATCTGTAAAAATAAGGGGATGGGGTTAGATGACCCCTAAGTTCCTTCACACTCCACATCTGTCAAGCTGTGATGGGAATCTTTTTACTTCTATTTTTTAAAAATGTTTCCTTTAAGTCATTATTGAAGGCCTTAAGTTGAAGTTGACAGTCTCCTATAATGATCCTGGATCCACACAAGGAGCGTGCACTTACACTATAAATATCAGGGAATGAAAATGCTAGAGTAGATTACATTTTTGTCATTTTCATGCCTGAGATACACAATTTGATAATACCATAGATTTAGAGCTGGAAGGAACCTAGACTTAAAATCCCAAAGGCAATGGGGCAAGGACTAAGGATAAATCTTCTCGGCACATTTGCCAACCTTTATGACTAACCATCAAGGTGTTTGTTTCAAAAGCAGATGGCCAAACACTTAAACAGAATACAGGCGTGCATCTGGGTCTAGACTTGTAGGACTGTAACTGCTTATTGCAAATCAAGTCATTCTTGATAACTTCCTTCCAGTGTAACATGCAAAAAGCCAACATTCCCTAAATTTAGGAAAGAAGTGAAGCTGGGATCGTGGAGATGACATCATTCAAGTGCTTCCATTTTATATCATTTCAATCCAAAAAATGTTTAATTACCATCAACAACATTCAGGAACTGACTTTTGCTAGGCTAGGCACTGAGAAAAGATTTGTTGTTGTGGTCATTAAGTCATTCAATTGTGTCCAACTCTTCACGACCCCATGATCCACAGCACAACATGCCCTTCTATCTTCTACTATCTCCCGAGACCTATCCAGGCTCAGGCTTGTAGCTTCCATGACATCATCTATTCACTTCATTTTCTGCTGTCCTCTTCTCCTTTTGCCTTTAATCTTTCCCAACATCAAGGTCTTTTCCAATGAATACTGTCTTCTCATTATGTAGTCAAAGTATTTAAGCTTTAGCTTTGGTATTTGACTTACCAATAGTCTGCATTAATTTCTTTTAAGTATTGACTGATTTGATCTCCTTGATGTCCAAGGGACTCTCAAAAGTTTTCTCCAATTGTTGATAATTTAAAATAAATAATTAAAAAAAAAGTTTTCTCCAGCACCACAATTCAAGTGTCGTTTCTATAGTACTCAGCTTTCCTTATAATCCAACTCTCACAGCCATACATCACTACTGGAAAAACTATAGTTGTGATTATATGGACCTTCGTTAGCAAGATGATGTCACTGCTTTTTTAGTATGCTATCCAGATTTACCATAGCTTTCCTTCTAAGGAGCAAGTGTCTTTTAATTTCATGACTGAAGTCAGCGTCTGCAGCAATCTTTGAACCCAAGAATATAAAATCTGACACTGCTTCCTTTCTTCTCCCTCTATCTGCCAGGAAGTAATAGGACAAAATGCCATGATATATATTATATATCATCATCAATTTATCATATTATATATATATCATCAATTATAAATAAAATATTGTATATAAATATATAATTATGATATAATATATAACATAAATAAAATAGAATTATAAATAAACATTATAGCATTTATATAGCACTTTAAGGTTTGCAAAGCACTTTATAAATATTATCTCATTTGATCTTCACAACATCCCTGGAAGGTAGGTGCTATTATTATTCCCATTTTATAGATAAGGAAACTGAAGCAGACAGAAATTAAATGACTTCCCCAGGTTCACACAGCTAGTAAGTGTCTGAGGCCTGTTTTGAACTCAGGTCTTCCTGGTTCCAGCTGCAGTGATCTATGTCCTATGTCACCTCGCTGAGATGGAGGACCTTGTCTTCAAAAAGCTTACAATCTAGCCGAGAAGTAAAGCTTTTACACAATTAAAGACTCCAGAGGAATCATTTCTGGCCAAGGAGAGTCAAGAAAGGTCACATGGAAGAGGCAAGTATTCAGATGAAGGATGGGCAGCATGTCAGCTAACAGATAAGGGAAGAGGGAAGACATTTCAGACAAAAGAAACAGGATCAAAAAAAAGGGCATGAGGGCTGGGAACTCCAGGATTACAGAAGGTATAAAATTAGAGACTAGTTTGGTTGGATCAAAGAGCATGTGATGATTGCATAAATATGAGTTGGAGCTAGAATGTAAACTGAATTCCTGTTAAGGATATTGGACTTTGTTCAGTAAGCAATGAGAAGTCATAAAACTGGATGTTCTGGAATAGAATAAGTAGAAGTAAATTAAATCATAAAAGAACAGTTCGGCTACATAACAATGACTCAGTCATCACTGAATCTTGCCATAAATTCCAATCATAAAAATTCATTTATTTTATTCCTTAGAGAGAAAAAAAATCAAGGACTCCCCAAATTATTTGTAGACATTTTATAATCACCACCTGAAGGAACAGGAACATATGCTTAGTGGCAGTAGAACACCTGGGGAATATAATCAGGTACTTAAGACACACAGAACTCCACAAGGCAGGATCAATGCATATTTATGAAAAAGGCAGTTTTCAATGTCAGCATAAGGAGCTCCAAAAATACGATGATCCATGATCTGTTAGTTACTGTTACATGGTGAAAAGATGCATTTCTTTAACTAGGCAAGTGGGCCCCAACATCTGGCTATCTGAGCCCCAACATCTGGATGTCCAGCAGCGTCCTCTTTATTCCCATCTTTGTGCTTCCATGAGACAGGACCAATACATGTTTCATGCATGTCCTGAACCATGTCTGCTACAGATTGAGTGCTTAATAAATGCCTGACAAAATTTTAGAACCATCTTTCTAAGAACTTTACAAAAACACAGGAACTAAGCAAAGTTCTTCCTCTAAGGGCACAAAAGGATTAGGTGAATGAATAAAGCAAGAATAATATGTCAGTATCTAGATGACATTTTTAAATTCTCCAAAAACCTTGAATGCTTTTTCTCTAAAAAAAAAAATTACTTAAAAAAATTTGTAATATTCTCTTTCATATATAACCTTAGATGTGACTTTCAATTCATTCATCATTTTCCTACCTACAACAAAAACCTAACCAGAGGTGACAACTTTTAGACATTTCTATTAATACAAACAGGGATATAACTTTAGTAGAATTCAAAACGCAAACTTCTTTGTAAATAATATGCACATGTTGAGTTTCATTTGTAATATTCACACAGTGAAGGAGATTTCAGTCCACTAAATTGTAGCTATATTTTAACCCTTCGTACAACAAGCTGTCTCTGAAAAGAGGACTACAGTATAGCAAGAAAATAGCTTTTCTAAATGGCTCTGTAACAAACTGAAGAGTGTATATGTTCAGGATGCTAACTCAAAAGGTCCCTGTTGTTATGGGATTGATTTTCCACTGGCAAATGCCATAAGGATATAATGTGACTGCAAGGATATAATGTGAGTGGTTACAGTAAAAATTGAACGCTTTGCATGGAAAATGAATGAGATGCAAATAGATACCTATGTAATAATTTTTAAAATACTACAACTATGCAACTTTGTATAGGCATACTGGTACTTTTGGCTTGAAATGAACTAAAGTCTTTTGTTACGGTACAAGTTTATTTAAAATTCTTTATACTGTTAAATTTACTGCCTGCAAATTACCTCACCCAAGTACATCTGAACATATGAAAAATTAATAAATATGAATTTTGCACAAGATAATGGAATGTCCTAAAATGCGCCCGATTTTATTTTTTAATTACATACATTATACATTTTGCCATCTACAAAGTGCATTTTCATGCACAATGCAAAGTGCCTGCATTACAGAATTTGCATATATTAATTTCAACAATAGCCTGAGACCATTTTACATACCACTTGAACAAAACAGCTAGAAACACACCATCTTGAGTTCCATACAACAAAGGAAGAATTCTAAACACACCTGGTATTAGTAAGCAGTGATTTTTAAGAACATAAATTATAAATTTTTCAATGACAACATACGCTGCATCAAGATGATGTTCCTTAATTTCTTGAACCCTTCCATATGACTATATACTTAGGTAAAAGCAAATGAATGATTAAGAATGTACAGGTATACCTGATAGATATGCTATCTTCCTCCTGGCACCAACAAAGGCCTCAGTTAATCATCAAATAAACCATATTTTGTTGCAAGTATAATCATACTTTTCTTCCATTTTCTGTAATATAAGAGCTCTAGTTTGAGTTTTGCTGCCATTGAGATAAAATACAGGTTCAAATAAGCAGATCTGATTCACTGAGCATGTGCATCTTATAATCATTTATCTTGACTTTAAAGGTATACTGTCGGAGATTAGGTTAGTCTATCACTAAATATATTCTATCACCATGTGGCTAATAAAGAGTTGGAGTTTTTTGTGTTGGGCTTTTTTTTTTCTTTTTTTGAAGTAACAGCTGCAATATAATATGAAACCTTTCCTAAACCCACAAGGAGCCTTTTGTAAAATGTTCACCAAGTAAATCAAAGACTTAATAAAGGTCAAAGCACTGTAAATAAAAGCCAAAGCACTTCAAGAGAGCAGTATACCTTTCAACAACCTTACTTTGGAAACAAGATGGGGTTTTACCCACACTTGAAGAGAATAAGCCACCCTAATTATCAGTACTATTACTATTACAAATTTTAACCAATGAATGGCTTTCATCCAATATTTTAAGGCTGATTTTTAGACATATCATCTAGATATTTCCTTTGCTTTCACTGAATACTGAATGAGGGAATCTTGAAACCAGAGTCCTGTTTGTATGTTGATTCCAAACACAACACAGTTCTTAACCAACAGGGCTCTCAGCTGGATAAATGAGTCTTAACAGTCATGTCTTACAATGTGTTGAAATGAATTTGATTTGTGAAAATAAGAGCAAATTCATGACTCCTCTGAAGTAGGTCAGGTTCACAAGGTTTCCTACAATATGCAAGCTTTTGGCATAGAGGTTCCAAAAATAAGATCTACCTACAAATCAAAGCCATGGTTTCACATATTTTATTTAAAAAAAACCAGAATCCAACAGTTTTTAATTTTTTAATTATTATTATTGCAGAGTTGTTGAGAGCTGCAGTGAGCCAAATTAAAGGCAGTAGGGTTTTGTTTTTGATTTGTGTATTTGTTTTTAAGAAAAAGAGATGCCACACTGGCATATGTAAGAATGATGTCATTCATAGTTATTTAAGATAGACTGATAAGCATTTCCTTTGAAGTAATTTACAAAGATAAGTCAATCCAAAAGTAAGTTTCTTAAAAAAGAAAAAAAAAAACTCAATTGCTAAGAAAATTAATGGATCAGAGGGACCCATCCACTTCATGTGCTAAAGGTCTAGCCACTCAACTATAACTGAGGAAATAGAGAATTCTAAAGAAGAAATTCAACTTCTGACAAGCTCTCATGAACTCATAGAAATGTATCTGGTAGCAAGCACCTTATGTTAAGAATTACTAGATTACCCCCCCCCCTTTTAAAAAACAATAAAAAAGTTAAAGTGAATTTTTGTGCTCATAAAAAGTTCCTAATTAAATGGTATCTGAGACTAGCATCTCCTAAGGTCTCTAAACCAAGATTCTGCCCCATGGAAGGGCAAATTGTAGGCACTATGGATTGATTCAACCTCTTTCTGGCCAGTTCAGTCTCAAAACCAAGGCAGCCCATGACTTCTGTGTAAAGACCATCAGCAAAGGTGCTAACAGAGGAGGCAGGAGGGGCCTGCCAATCAATAATCTCCAAATGAAATCTTAAATAAGCCAGCAATCAGTCAAAGACAGGGATGACTTTGGCTCATACATAGGCAGACTACACTTAAACCAGTATTCTAGAGGTGAATGTCTCTGTAAGTCCTTTCAAGTCCTCCAAACAGCAGGTTCGTAAGTTTGGAGGTTGTTGGGGTTTGGTTTGGTTTATTTGGTTGTTTTCTCCTTTAAATGGACCACTGGAAAAATCTGACCACCAAAAAGCAGACCATCACCTGTGGTGGGCTTGGTGAAGCTTCTGAAGGACTCGAAAAGCCAGCAAACCAGCAGATTCATCACATTTGCTTTGGTCCTACAAACGCTTATAGGTACCAAGAAGAGCTTTGCAATTTGGGCAATAGTGATCAACATCCTGAAGTGCATCCACACAAAATGGAATGAAACAGCAGCCAGCTATACATCTGGAAGAAAAGAAAAGGAAAAAAAGAGTCTTGATTTACCAACCTAGGGATTCTTCCTAAACTATAATAACCTAAACTATAATAACTATATATATAATATATATTTTATATATATAAACTAAACTATAATAAACTTCCTAAACTATAATAACCAGAGACTGCCTCTATCTCAATTTCTCTTCAGAGACCTAGAATAGCAATACCTATAAAACAAAGGTTCTTAATCTTGCTTGGGTCATGGACCCCTTTAGCAGTCTAGTGAAGCCTATTGACCCCTTGAGAAGGGTCATTTTGAAAGAATAATGTTTTTAAATGCATGAATATATAGGAATACAAAAGAAATCAATTATATTGAAGCATAATTTTATACACACATACACAAAACCAAGCTCAAAGGCCTCAGGTTAAGAATTCCTGGTTAAAGAAGGGCTCAATAATGTTTTATGATATTGACAATATCTATAACAACTCTTCCTAACTCTTCCAGTTCTTCCCAACCTTTAGGCCATCTCTCTATCCATTATGTCAAACTGCCTCTTAAAATATTCTATAACTTACCCATGGACTATTACTAAAAAGAGACAAGACCTGTAAGCCAATTCAGCCTAACAAGTATTTATTAAATGCCTACTACTTACAAGGCACTGGCCTCAGGGAGCTTGCATCCTAATCATAGCCCTTACCAGAAACACTAAAATAAAACCTTGCTAACATAAGCATTTTCAAAGATGATGTTAAGTTGGACTAGAAAGAAATTGCAGCACTGTTGGGTTGGAAGAAGAACAGTCAAAAGACTTCTGTATGAGTCCATGCTCTCCTACTTTAACACCTATTTTTGAGTCTCAATTTCTTCACTTATAAAATGGGAAGAATACTTGTACTTCCTACCTGAAAGGGCTGTCATGAGACTTAAGATGAATATAATAGCAAAATACTTTATAACATTAAGAAGCTATAAATATAAGCTTATATCCATTATAGCAACTACCAATTAAGAATCATATTTCTGATTTACTGAAATAATCTAGAAAGAATCTGACCCCCCAAAAATCTTTCTTAATTAAGATTAGTTTTCACATGCATTTATCATTTTTCTTAAGGGGATAATTTAGCTAATAAACTCTTCAAAGTTAAAACTAAATATGTGGGGCCATTGTTTTGCATTTTCCTACTTTCTGAGATTAAAACAGTCTTTGATGCTGAGGCTCAAGAAGGATGTTTAGCATTTTCTTCCTAAGGAATTCAAAACATGCAACCAACAGTATAGTATGAGTGGGTAGAAGCAATAGTGGACCAGAGGCCAGGAAATGTAGTCTTAGTTTTGTGTGTGTGTGTCTGTGTCTGTGTCTGTGTGTGTGTGTGTGTGTGTGTGTGAGAGAGAGACAGACAGACAGACAGACAGACAGAAGACAGAGACAGAAAGAGAAACTGAGAGACTAAGAGAGATATTGAGAGACAAAGACAGAGACAGAAAGAGACAAGAGATAGAGAGAGACACTGAGAAACAAAGAGAGATAGAGACACCTTACGCACATTACTATGTCTCCACTTGGAGGAGGAAAGGGAATACTGTTCACATCCTTTACCTGCCTCATATATAGTGAAGAAAAATGAGCCAGTACATATGAGATTGTTTAAGGCTCTTTGAAGGAAAGGTGTAAGGATTATTCATTTACAGGAAGAAAAACTGAAACATGAGGAAGCTAAATACATGAATGGCCCAAGGTCACCCAAGTTTCACATGCAGCCAAGAATTAAGTGACGCTACTTTTCCCTGCTGTGGGGGTGGGGCAAAACTACGCCTTTTCAAAACACTCTCACAAACCAGTAATGACTATGTCTTTAAACACACTACCCTAAGTCCAGACAGATTTTATGCATCCAAGTCGACAAGAGAGAAAAAACTTGAATTAATAATAGGGCAAGACGTTTTGAAGACATTAATGTAAAAGTATTTTTAATATAAATCTATACCCCAAAACTTCCATTATGTTGAAAGACAGTGGGACATAGTAGATAACAAGCTGGCTCAGAGTCAGAAAGACCTGGGTTCCAGTCCAGCCTAGGATACCAATAGCTATGGACAAGTGAGTGGTATACCAATCTCTAATTTGAGTTGATAGAAAGAGTTTCCTCATAGGGAGTTCCCTTACACCAGGGAAATATAGATTCAGACACATACAGGATGTCCCAAAAGTTTGAAAATTCTTTTTAAAAAAAGCTTTAATAGCTTAAAATTACATTAAGACTTTTTGGACACCCTGTATATTCAAGTGGATACTGTCATTCAGGCCACAATAAAACTCCCAAAACTCCAAGGTAAAAAAAAGTCTCTAGGGCAAGAGTTCTTAAGCTTTTTTTGTGTGTGTTATGATCCCTTTGGCAGTCTCATGAAGCCTATGGACCCCTTCTCAGAATGAGGTTTTTAAATGCATAAGATTTAATACAAAGCACTACAAAAGAAACCAATTATTTTGAAATAATTATCAATATCAATATATCAAATATAGTTATCTATTTTTTAATGTCACAGATCCCAGATCAAGAACCCTTGCTCTAAAGATAACACTTAGCATAACAGAAAACTACTTGTTTTGCAATGCTTGTTTGCAAATGTAGTCGAATAATTTTACCATGAGAGCAAAAGAAATTATGCAGTCCAGATTTCCTGATTATTTCACATCTGAAGAAGAACAAATGTGATATACATATATATAACAGGGGTGACCAGGACAGCCCCAAATAAACATGTCCCTGAACAAAGGTCCAGCTGCATGGAGGTACCCCAGTTGGGCACCTACAGGTTCTCCTGCTTGCCCCTCCCAGAATGTCAAATCATATGATAAGACACTAGAAGTTTACCAACTCACCCCAGTAAGCAAAGGCTGCCGCAAGACAGCCAAGTTAGGGCTCCTGCATTAAAAGAGAGCTTGGTCACTATCATCTTGTTACACGAGGGACAGCACATCTGGACAGGACGGTCAAAAAAGGTGACAGGCTGCTGCACATACACAGTCTGAACTGCAACTGATTAGAAAGAGAGAACAATACGTTTTAGGTGATCGTTATTAAAATTAATAGCTTAATTTGTTTGCCGTTCATGTTAAAAAACAGTATGTCACACCACTATCTTGTTTAATTCTCAGCAAGTCTATGAGATAGGTGGGGCAAATACTATTATTACTCCCATTTTGGACATAAGGAAGCTTGACTGAAAAGGATAAAGTTACTTGCCATGTGGTCAGAAGCCACTCAAATTCAGGTCCTTTGACTCCTACAACTGCTCATGTAATACATAGTGAAAAAAGTGGATGAATCATCAAAATAATAGTCACAGCATCACAGACCAAGAGCTGAAAGGGAGCTCAGAGACCATTACTCTAATCTCCTCATCTTACTGACGGGTATAATGAGACCTAGGGAGGTTAAGTGGGTTGCTGATGGTCATGTTGTCAATAAGCATTAATTAGTTTATAATAAGGTTGCTGGCCCCAGGGGACAATTCTGGATATTTAAGTGTGCATGATAAGTGGTAAAATAAAAAAAATTTAACTTTTAAGAAGCTTTATAGAAATGTAATTAATTCTTCCATTTTTTTTGCTTCTCCTATACAGTCAATAGGTAATTACTAAAAGGCAAAGTAGTGGACTAAGAAACCAACCACATTTATCAACATTTACCTAAATGATCAAGCCACAGCTCAAACACCACCAAAAAAACACTTACAGAGCACTCCGCTGCTCAGGGCACTTTGGGTATGAGTGAGGGAAAGGTGATGGGAATGTTAAAATGCTGGTAGCTTTTTCCTAAACTGGGAAGCAGGCAGAAAAGAAAAATTTACATATTCTTAGTTTTTAATCAAATAAAACTTTTAATCAAACAAAAATCTCTGAAGAAAAATTCATCTTCTCCCTTCTCCCCACTCCAAGACACCCAAACTTCTCTTTCTGGTTTCTACAGTAAATGTTTTGTATCTAACACCAGTCATTGTAAGGAAATTCCTTCTCATGATGTTGAATTGACTGGCATTTCAATATCCAATGTATGTGGTGGGGACATAGGATCACAGCACCATATGATCAGAGATTAAAAAGTGGAAAACATCTCAACAACTCCTAAAACTAAAGGATCAAAATAATAATGGAAATAAATCTCCCTTCAGGAAAGAAAAAGGAATCAGTCAAAAACTATTTAGCTTTCTTGATATTCAGGATAATAGGATAACAAATAAAGAACAAGAATGGACCTCAGATGTCTCAAGGTGATAATTTTTTTAATTTAATAAAGAGCTATTTAGCAATAATACAGGGTTTATACAATTTTGAAGTAGCACACAGAGGAAAAAAGTACACACAGGCAACAGTCGTGGCCTAAAATAACATAAAATTATTTTCCTGTCCCTTTCAAGGATGGAGTGTGGTATAGTGGTCAGAGGGCCAGCCTGGAATCAGGAAGACCTAGGTTTAGCTCATTCCTCTAAATACATACTAAGCCAAGTCACTGAAATCTCTCAGTGCCCCAAGCAATTCTCTAAAATTAAAAATTGCCAGTCTGTATCTGTGGAGGGAGTTTCCATATTGGACATTACCTACACAGGTCTGCTCCCCCTCCTCACTACCCCCTCAAAAAAAGAATTCATTTTAGCTTCAAGAGATAAAAGGAACTAGAAGGCAAGGGAGGTTAAAAATAACACAGCTAGAGGAACTGTTACTGAACTGGCTTTAATTATTAACTACTTATATACCTAAGACAGCCCAGGTGAAATGGCAGGTGCAGAAGCAAAAGAGGACAGGACCAAAGTAAATGTTGTCTGAGTGCACAGCAAGGCATACTGGTCCCCAGGGCTCCAGCTCACTCATGCCTAGGCCACAAGTGCTCCCATCCCCGTTTTTTTCTTCAGTCTCCATGGCCACATATAACCACAATGTATGGTGGCCCCTCCAACTACCATCCCCATCCTGAAAATTATGCTGGGCACACCAACAGCTGGTTGGGCCCCTGTCATGGGCTGTGAAAACAGTCTGATTCATAGTACAAAAAGAGACTCAATCTACCCTACTTCATATAGGGTAGATATAGTATATAAATACATATTTATATGAATATATAGTTATATGAATATATTTACATAAATACATAAATATATTCATATGTAAATATATTTATATAATAAATACATATTTATAAATATATCGAATATATTTATATAATAAATATATCTATAAATATATTTGTATTTATATAAATATATATGTGTAATATATAAATACAGAGTCAACAGGATACTAATGATGAATGTCTAAGTCCCAGTAACAACCCATAAGGTCAAACAAAATATCCATGGACATAACCAAAGACATCAGATTCTTTAAGGAAAGAGTTGTTTCAAATATTACAGGATAGATCATCTCTCCCCCCAAACCTTGCATATTTATTTTGTATATGTCTTATATTTACTTATCAATGAACATATTACAACGCCCTCCAGCAGAATATAAAAAAGTTCCTGAGGGCAGGCAACAGTCTTTCTTTTGTAATTGCCTGGCACATTTTGTTGTTGTTCAGTCGTGTCTAACTCTTCTCAATCTCCATTTGGGTTTGGTTTTGTTTTTTTTTTGGCAGAGATACAGGAATGGTTTGCCATTTCCTTCTTCAGCTCATTTTACAGATGAGGGAACTGAGACCGACAGGGTTAAGTGACTTGCCTGGGGTCACACAGCTAGCAAGTGTTTGAGGCCAAATTTGAACTCTGGAAAATGAGTCTCTATCCACTGCACCACTTCGATGCCTTATGTGCCTGCCTGGCACATAGCAAAGTGCTTAGTAAATTGCTTGATTGGTAGATTGGCTGATTTGATAGATTCTAGGCCTGGGCAAGTCACCTAACCCCGTTTGCCTCAGTTTCCTCATCTGTAAAATGGTCTGGAGAAGGAAATGGCCAACCACTCCAGCATCTTTGCCAAGTAAACCCCAAATGGGGTCATGAAAAGTCGAACACCCTTGAAAATGACTAACGAAAAACAAAAAAGCCTGAAGAAAGAAACCTTATAGCTAAGGGAGAAATGGAAAGGGTTTTAAACAAATAGGTTAAGTCGATCACTTACTTGCATTAGGATTTGGAACTGGCAAAGGCTGAGAATAGTATGCAGGAGGATTCATACCCTTCCCATCTGCTCCTGGCACTGCTCCTGGTACAGGCCCAGGGGGAGCAGTAGGAAAATGACTGTTGACAGCCATTGTTTCTTCATAGGAAGGAGGCGCATTTGGAGCTACTGATGCTCCTGGAACAACGTTATATGGTCCTGGAGCTGACATTTTATCTAAAATAAAATTATAGAAAGTTATTCTTCTATTCAGCAAACATTTATTTCATGCCTACTAGGTGTAAAGCTCTGTGCTAAGCATTAATTAGTCCAGTGTGACAAATTCGAGGTCTTTTCCCTTGTTTTGATACTTACTTCTCTACCTTGAAGTCTCCACCACCACCACTACACCCCACCATTTGTCTACAATTACTGCCTCATTTTCTCTCTGCCCTACTCACTTCTTAACCCCTCCATTGTAGTCTGGCTTCTGAGCTCAAGCCTCCACTGAAACTGCTATCTCCTGAGTTACTAATGGTCTCTTAATTAATTGCCAGATCCTTTTCACAGTCTTCCTGTCTCTGTTGTATCTTAGTCAGGGCTGACCACTCTTTAAAGAAAGGGCTCTTAATCTGCTATAGGTGGGAGATTTAAGGGAATGGAAGAGTAAAAAAAATTACACCATGATTTTCACTAACCTGTCACTGAAATTTAGCATTTCCTTCATTATGAATATAAGCAACAATCAGTAGTAGTATCACCAACACCTCTGACTTTGTCATCAAAAGAAATTACAGATATTTTCACATCACATTACAGTGAAAACAGATTGAATATCCAACCTGACATTCATGTTACCTTGCCAAAGACCACCCGACAGTTTAATGTGCTGATCCAAGCTAAGACTATCTTTAAACTTTAGTTTGTCTATATTTAAATATAGAGCCTTGCCATTTAATGTGTTAATAAAGAAGCACTTATTACTATACTACAATTTAAAAAATATTTTTATAACTGTATTTCAATATAATTCAGCTAGCTAGGTAATATAGCTGGATACATCACTGAGCCTGCCATCCAGAAGACCTGGGTTCAAATCTAGCCATAGACACTTACTATCAGTGTGACCCTGGGCAAGTCACTTAACCCCTGTTTTCCTCAGTTTCCTCAATAATAAAATTCGGATAATAATAGTACCTACTTCCCAATGTCGTTGTGAAGATCAAATGAGATAATAGTTGTGAAGTTTGTAGCACAGTGCCGAACGCAGAGTAGGTGCTATATAAATGTTAGTTATTATTTACCTGGTAATCCTATGTATTTCATTTTAGGCATTTAAAATCACTATTCTGAAACAAAAAGGTTTAGGACTCCCCACAGTAAAGTCTCCCAGGGGAATATTTTCTCCTCATTGAGTTTTTGTGACATTGCTCTTTCTGCGTATTTTCCTATCCAACAACTCTTCTCAGTCTCCTTTGCTGTATCTTCCCCTAGATCCCCTTCCCTTCTCTAGGTAAACCCCCAAGGCTCTGTCCTAGGGCGGAAGGTCAAACAACACTCAGTAACTTTACCAGCTCTAATTCAATTATCATCTAAGTGGATGCTTCTGAGATACAGAGATGTAACCGTCTGTCTGCTGGGCTCATGTCCCTCATCACCAGCAGCTTATCAGACACGACTAAAGACAACAATAACAACCCCCAAAATTCGGACATTTCTAGTTCTATATCCCAGAGGCATCTCAGACTCATTACCGGCCCAACAGAATTCATTCTCTCCCCCCTCCAAATTCATCCCCCTGTTCTGGCTGTCCTTATTTCTGTCGAAGGCATTCCTTTTCCTTCCCTAACCAGGTTTGCAACCTTGAAGTCATTCTTGACCCCTCACTATCCATCACCTCAAATATCCACCTACAGAGTCACCAAGTCTCCTAGATTCCACCCCAACAGCATCTCTCACATCCTTTGCTCTCTATTCACACAATCGCGATCCTGGTTCAGGCTCTCCTCACCTCTTGACTGGGATTATTGCAATAGATTCCTAATAGCTCTCCCTCTCCAATCTTACCCTATCCTCCACACCACTACTAAGTGATTTTCCCAAATCAAAGATCTTGTCATGTCACTTTCCTGCTCAATCAACTGGGAACAGGGAAAAGGATTGGATCTGTGGTTTTACTGATACAGGGGGATTCCTAGATGAGAAACACCCTCTTCTAACGCAAGTCAGCACCTCCCCTGCAGTTTACAAGCTTGAAGAGCTCCTAGAGCTCTACTGTTGCTGTTGCTGTTGCCGTTTGTTCTCAAAGAGGACCAATGACTTCAGGAGAGTGATGTCCTGACTTGCAAGTGAATTGGATTTAAGTAAGGCAGAACTATGCAGTCATCAGCCTCACTCTGTCCTCCAAAGCCTTCTGAGGGCCAGCTAGGTGGCACAGTGGGTAGGGCTGTGGCCTTGGAATCAGAAGGACCTGAGTTCAAATCTGGTCTCAGACACTTAACACTTACTAACTGTGTGACGTTAGGCAAGTCACTTAACTCCGATCGCCTCACCGAAAAACAACAACAACAACAACAAAAAAAAACAAAAAAAAAAACAAAAAAAACAAAGCCATCTGAGTCCAATGGCAAGACATAGGTCAAGATGGCTGTTGATGGCCCCAGATGCAGTGGGAGACCTTGGCTTTTTTAAGCTAAGGTCTTTCCCAGGTCCCAGTTTGTCTGAGGCAAAGCCCATTCGGTAATTCAAGGCTAGCTAAGAATTAAGGAGGGGCAACCAGGTTAGAGCACTGGCCCAGGAGTCAGGAAAATCTGAGCTCAAATCCAGCCTCAGACACTTAGTAGCTGTGTGACCCTGGGCAAGTCACTTAACCCTGATTGCCTCAAAAAAAAAAAGGTTAAAAAAAAAAAAGAATTGAGGCAAAAGACAGCCTAGTTTGCCTTCATAAAAGAGTCAATCTGGGAGAGGAAGAACTTAGAGCACTGAGATTTAATTGGCCCAGGGTGATACAGTCAGTATGTCAGAAACTAGGTCTTCTGGGCTCAGAGGCCTGCTCTCTATCCACTACACCTTAATTAACAAGTATTTATTAATTTACCTGTCCTATTCACTCACTGTTCTAAACAAAAAAAACAGCAGTTCCTTCCTTCAAAGAGCTTAAGAAAACCCCTGTGGCTCCACATATGTGTGTGTGTGTGTGTGTATACCCATACATATACATACACATATATACACATACATATACATATTAGGATCAAATACAAAATCCTCTGTTGGTCAGTTCCTGTCAATCTCTGTTTCCAGGCTTAGAATATATCATTCCTCTTCGTTCACTCCATGGTCCAAACAGGTCTTCTTACTGTTCCTCACATATGACACCCACAACTCTGTAGCCTTTACACAGTCTGTCCATGCCTGGAACACATTCCCTCTCTCTCATCTCTGGGCTTCTTAAAATCCCTACTTTCCATCAAAGCTCAGTTCTCATACCACCCACACAAGGCCTCTCCTGATCCTTAAAGCTGTTAGTGCCTTGCCCCAAAATCATGTTGTATTTTACTTTGCATATATTTGTGAGCATTCATGTTGTCATTTCACATGTATATATGTGTCATGTCACAGCGTAATGCAAATGCCCTAAGGACAACGATAAATTCATTTTTGTGTTTCCTTCCTCAGGATTAACACTGTATATCCTAGGTGCTTAATTAATACATGGTTGTTGAGTAATAATACAAGTAATTTCTGAGAATAGCTTGAGTTCAGTCTTGCCTTAGGAGATAGCTCAAATGATTATTTGATGTCCCCCTCCAGACCTGTTGATACCACCGTCATGCATTTTGCTCAATGTATATGAGAAAGCTAGATGAAGAAAATGACCCAAATTAACCAACATCTAACACAAAAGGCCAAGGGGAAATACCAACCAAAGTCTTATATAAATATCTTTTTCTTTGCTTCAGTGATAAGCCAATATTTAAACTTTCTTTAAAATATTTAGAAACTTTTAGCTACACTGAATTTCCCATTTACATTACTCCAACATCTTTAGTAAATAAAATGAAAAGGGTATAATTTTTTAAAAATCAACTTATAAAACTTTCTCAATTTTTAAAAGAATATATAAATGCATCCAGCACAGACTCTCCTTTCTGAGGAATGGGGAGAAACATATTTTCTTTTTTCAAGCAAACCAGGAGGCTAGAATTACAATTTGTAAACAGGGTGTGTTCCTGTCCAAGACTTTGTTAGCTGAACCATAAAGTAGCGTGATTAGTACACAGTACCATCCTTTGTGTGCTTTAAAAAAAAAAAAAATTGGGCAGGGCATACCTGGGTAGAAGAAATATTCAGTATCTGCCTCAAGTGGAAGTCAATAAAAGAATATGTGTGAGAGAGATTCTGTGGTCATGGGGCCCTGTTTCACTTTATATTGACACAGTGATTTTATTCTACCTTTTCTCTCATTTTCCAATATCCTGCTACCACTTTCTTGTGTGCACTAGCTGCTGGATGGGGCAAAGGGTGACATATCATATGACCATGGCTATAAGAAAGCCTTTTTAACGTCAAACCATCATCAACTTCCTATGAGATGTGAGTGGAAGGAACAGGGGTTAGATGGGGGAAAAAACACAAAAAGGGAATAAGCCAGTTAGAGGATGTTAGTCACACAGGCCATGGTCCTTAAATGAAAGAATCAAAGAATTCATTACATAGAAGTTAGCTGAAGTCTGGTTGCAGATGGCACTAACAATTCCTGCACATTTGCTTCTATCACTTCCTTTATGGTGCTTAGAAGATATTTTCTACAAAGAGAACAATGTCGTCACTGTGATTCTTTGAAGTAATTTACATCCTTGCTGAGGCATTCTTCCCCCCTCCACTTTTTTTTTTATTAGACTGTGAGTCAGAGAGATTTACTGAAGAGATTTACTCTTAACATTCAATGTTTAAAATTATAAGATTGGACAATCAGATGCTGAAGGGACAGATTGAAGGGCGAAAAAAACTTTTACAAATGCACCACCTTTACCACTGGGGAATGGCTAAATAAATTGTGACACGTGAAATGTAGTAGAATTCTACTGTGCCATTAGAAATTATGAAAATAGAGAATTAAGACATATGGGAAGCCTTTTATAAAATAATGCAGTGTAGCAGAACAAGGAAAATATAGATAATGAAAGCAACAGTGTAATATAGAGGTAGAGTCAGGAAGACCTGAATTAAAATAG